TTCAGATACTGGACCCAAAGTGTCTTCTGCCTGCATCAGCAGAGGGGAAGTCCATCTATAACAGGGGAAAGAGACTGGGGCATCATCCATTCATTCATACATTCACAGATACATATGGAATGTCCTATCCCAGGTGATGTTCTAGGCATTAGAAACACAGAGGTAATTAGAGGCAAAGCCCCTGCTCTTATGGTGCTTACCCATCAGTGTGGGAGACAGACAAGGAACAAATAAACCAAGAGAACAAATATACCAGGAGACAACTGTCACTATAACAGGCTCAGTTGGAAGAAAAATACATTTCACTTTTTTTTTTTTGAGACAGGGTCTTGTTCTGTCACTCAGGCTGGAGTGCAGTGGCACAGTCATGGCCCAATGTAGCCTTGAACTCCTGGGCTCCAGCAATCCTCTCACCTAAACTTCTTGAGTAGCTGGGGGCATGCACCCACCTCACCTGGCAAATTTTTAATTTTTTTTGTAGAGACAAGTTCTTGCTAGGTTGCCCAGGCTGGTCTCTAACTCCTGGTCTCAGGTGATCCTCCTGCCTCAGCCTCCAAAAGTGTTGAGATTACAGGTGTGAGCCACTGTGCTCAATGTATTTCAATTTTTTTTTTTTGAGACAGGATTTTGCTCTGTAACCCAGGCTGCAGTGCAGTGTCATGCGCAGCTCACTACAGCCTTGACATCCTGCGCTCTAACAATCATTCCACCTCAACCTCCCATGTAATTGGGACCACAGGTACATGCCACCATGCCCAATCTATTTTTTTTTTTTTTTTTGAGAAGGAGTCTAGCTCTGTCGCCCAGGCTGGAGTGCAGTGGTGCAATCTCAGCTCATTGCAAACTCTGCCTTCCAGGATCAAGCAATTCTCCTGCCTCAGCCTCCTGAGTAGCTGGGATTACAGGTGTACACCACCATGTCTGGCTAATTTTTGTATTTTAGTAGAGATGGGTTTCACCCAGCTAACTTTTGCAATTTTTGTAGAGACAGGTTTCACCGTCTTACCCAGGCTGGTCTTGAACTCCTGGGCTCAAGTGATCTGCTCACCATGTTGGCCAGGCTGGTCTCTAACTCCTGTCCTTATGATCCTCTCACCTCGGCCTCCCAGAGTGCTGGGATTACAGGCGTGAGCCACCATGTCCGGCCCAAATTTTTTAAAAGTTTTTTGTAGAAATGAGGGTCACACTTTGTTGCCCAGGCTGGTCTTGAACTCCTGGGCTCAAGACATCCTCCCATCTCAAAGTTCTGGGATTACTGGCATGAACAACCGCACCCAACACATTTCACATATACTTATTGCAGGGATAGCAACATCCCTTCAAGTAGCTGAGGAGTTCTACTTAGGAGCTGGCAGCCAAGGAGGAAGGACAGCCTCATGAGGAAGGCTTCACCAAATGAAATTGTGAAGTGCCATGGGAATGGGGAATGGGGGCTAAGCTGGAAGGTGGAGGAGTTGGTATGTGCTGTTGGACTACTCTCACCTCAGTCCCCAGGCTGTTGACTTTGCCTCCCACTTCAGAGGAAATGGAAACTTAGATGTGAGCTCTCAACTGCCTGCCTCCAAGCCCCTTCTCTCTAGTTCTATTCCGTGTCACTCCCCTCTCTAATCCTTGTTCCCTTTTGAAAATTCATTCTGGGCTGGCACAGTGGCTCACACCTGTAATCCCAGCACTTTCAGAGACCAAGGTGGGTGGATCACTTGAAGTTAGGAGTTCAAGACCAGCCTACCCAATATGGTGAAACCTTGTCTCTACTAAAAATACAAAAAAAAATTATCTGGGTGTGGTGACGGGCAGCTGTGATCCCAGCTACTCAGGAGGCTAACGTAGGAGAATTGCTTGAACCCAGGAGGTGAAGGTTGCAGTGAGCCAAGATCACACCACTGCACTCCAGCCTGGGTGACAGAGCAAGACTGTCTCAAAAATAAAAAAAGATTACTAAGTGGATTTATTTCAGTTTGTTTGTTTGATATAGGGTCTCACTCTATCACTGAAGGCTGGAGTGCAGTGGTGCAATCAGGGCTCACTGAAGCCTCAAACTCCTGGGCTCAATTGATCCTCCCTCCTTGGCCTCCCAAGTAGCTGGGAACACAGGTGTGCAGCACCACGCCCGGCTAACTTTTGTAATTTTTGTAGAGACGGGTTTCACCATGTTGCCCAGGCTGGTCTTGAACTCCTGGGCTCAAGTGATCTGCTCGACTCAGCCTCTCAAAGGGCTGGGGTTACAGGTGTGCACCACCACGCCTGGCTTCATTTCAGTTTTTAAATTTTAGTCATGCTTATTTTGAAATTTGAGTCTTATATTTGACTCAAAGCTCTCCCCTTTGCCCCACTGAGGTGAGCAGAAAGAGGGGTGGAGGCTGCTCAGCTCTCAACACCCACTTCCTTGCATTAAGTTTCTCAGCATTGGACTGAGGGGGACAAAGAATTTTCCATTGGAAGTATCCATCAGTGAGCCATTACTACTGGTCTAGTTTGTATGGTGGGGTAGGGGCTTCCAACTGGCCCATTGATGAAGGACTCAACCCTTGACACTTGAGAGGTCTCTTGTGGTTCCTGAGAGACATGGCTGCATCTTTGCACTGGATCTCAGCATCCTTTCATGCAAGCACCTTTTTTTTTTTTGAGACAGAGTCTTGCTCTGTCTGGAATGCAGTTGTGCAAATTCAGCTCAATATAACCTTCACCTCCTGGGCTCAAGCCAGCCTCCCACCTTAGCCTCCAGAGTAGCTGGGACTTCAGTTTGCAACTGAAAATCCAAACCATAATATAACAACTTAACAAAGATACTATACCAATAATACAAACACATTTGTATTATTTTAAACACATTTTAAAATTTTCAGCCAAATTAGTCTTTGTAGTAAGAGTGGCTTTATAGCAGCCTAATTCTGCCACCTGCCTTGGCACCTTGTTACATCATTAATAGTACTCAGAAGCATGAATCTGAAATAGTACTGTGTAAACATGCATGGTGTTTCCACTAACTAAACCATAACACAGGAAATTGATTCTCCTGTAACCAGCATTCCTGAATATCTCCCAATGATCTCTCAAGGATCATTTTTACTATAATATGCAAATGAAATGGCCAAGTGCCCATTCCATGGATGAAGGGAACCCAACCCCTCCCCAGGATCTCCGTGAATTCCTGGAGGCTACTCCTATTAGTCCATCCTGCAGCCTGCACCCCACTGTCACTGGGAGCTTATCAGCTGCTGTTCTGGCTCATTGTCCACAGGTCACCTGTGGCTTGGAAAATTATGCACACATGTCATTCCTCCTAGGCTCTACTCACACAAGTTTGTGTGTCACACAGTTTTTTTATTTTTGTTTTTGTTTTTTGAGACAGAGTTTTGTTCTCTCACCCAGGCTGGAGTGTGGTGGCATGATCTCAGCTCACTGCAACCTCTGCCTCCTGAATTCTAGTGATTCTTGAGCCTCCCGAGTAGCTAGGATTACAGGCACACAGCACCCTGCCCAGCTAATTTTTTGTATTTTTAGTAGAGATGGGGTTTCACCATGATGACCAAGCTGGTTTCAAAAGTCCTGACCTCAAGTGATCTGCCCACCTCAGCCTCCTAAAGTGCTAGGATTACAGGTTTGAGCCACTATGCCTGGCCTTTGTTTTAGTTTTGAGATGTAGTCTTGCTCTGTCATCCAGGCTGGAATTTAGTGGCATGATCTCAGCTCACTGCAACCTCCGCCTCCTGGCTTTAAGCAATTCTCCCATCTCAGCTTCCCAAGTAGCTGAGACTATAGGTGCAAGCCACCACACCTGGCTAATTTTTGTATTTTTAATAGAGACAGGGTTTTGCCATGTTGGACAGGCTGGTCTTAAACTCCTCACCTGAAGTGATCTGCCTGCCTCTGCCTCCCAAAGTCCTGGGATTACAGGCATGAGCCATCGCACCCAGCCATGTTATACAGTTTTATTGGAGGTTTGATGGTAACAAAAGGCGACATCATAGCATAACCTAGGTAGCAATTTAAGGCTGAACATGAGACATAACTGTCCTAGAAACACCTTGGTCATTTGCCACTACAGGAACTTCCTAACCAGGCTCTAACTTGCCGCTCTCTTCTTGACCTCTCCCTCTGCTGCTAACCTTTTCCAAGACTTTCCCCCTCTCTGGTCTGTCAGCCTCCAGCCCCCAAATTCCTGTTACTTCTCTTATGCAGACCAACTCAGTTTGCTCTATATCTTCAGCTTCACCCTTCTGACCATATCTCACTCAAAAAGACCTCTCCAGGTATTTTTGTAACCCTCACCTCAAACAAAAGCTCTCAAAAGTCTCTCCCCTGCTATGTCTTGTCCTTGTGATTAAAAACAACTGCAGTCAATTATTGCTTTAAATGGCACCTTCCCCCTTCTGCCACATGTTTGAAAGAGCAGTGATGTCTACCATTTCTAGAGTGCCCAGAAGGTAAATGCTTGATCTCCAGTCCTCACAAACCTCGGTGAAGTATGAGGTATCATTCTCATATTACAGATGAGGCTCACAGATGACTTGCCTGAGTTCCCCCAGCTGCTAATTAGTAGGGTATGACTGTGAACCAGTGCCTGATTCCTAAGCAGATGTCTGCATCTCTACACAACACTGTAAGATTGGCCTGGTACAGTGGCTCACTTCTGTAAGCCCAGCACTTTGGGAGGCTGAGGCAGGTGGATCATCTGAGCTCAGGAGTTTCAGACCAGTCTGGACAACATGGTGAAACTCTGTCTCTACTAAAAATACAAAAAATTAGCCGGGAGTGGTGGTGGGTGCCTGTAGTCCTGGCTACTCTGGAGGCTGAAGTAGGAGAATAACTTGAACCCAGGAAGTAGAGGTTGCAGTGAGCTGAGATTGTGTCATTGCACTCCAGCCTGAGTGACGGAGTGAGACTCTGACTCAAAAAACAAAACAAAACAAAAAACACACAGTAGATAACTGCCCCACTCCATCCCACACCAGGACATCTTTAATTTATGCCTCCTCTTCTCTCTTCATTTTTCTCAGGATTCCACTGCAATGAGTTGGTGGAGGAACAATTTCTGGATCATCTTAGCTGTGGCCATCATCATTGTTTCTGTGGGCCTGGGCCTCATCCTGTACTGTGTCTGTAGGTGGCAGCTTAGACAAGGTAATGGCCATCTTACCTGGACAACTGGATTGGGGAGCCAGGTGGTTATCAGTACAGTAGAGCTCCTTTAGGGCAAGAAAATTAATTCTGGGCCTGAATGGGCTGAATTTGGGATTAAGCATCTTGCTTTCTGAGTTTGAGTCCTAGCCCTGCCACCTACATTGTGGTTTGGTGGCCTCAGTTTCCTCATCTGCATAGTGAAGGGAGGGACATCAACTAATCTCCAAGAGCCCTCCAGCCCTAATCATCTGAGTGAAAGCAGAATCTGTTTCAAGGCACAGTACACTCAAGTGCTTTCTCTTTCCTATGTGGCTACTGATAACAGCATCTTGCAAGAACACAAGTATATGGAATATTAAGAACTGTCTTGACTGGGCATGGTGACAATACTTTAGGAGGCCCAGGAAGGGGATCACCCGAGGTCAGGAGTTCGAGACCAGCCTGACCAAAATAGTGAGACCCTGTCTCTACTAAAAATACAAAAATTAGCTGGATGTGGTGACAGGCACCTGTAATCCCAGCTACTCAGGAGGCTGAGGCAGGAGAACCACTTGAACCCAAGAGGCAGAAGTTGGAGTGGGATCGTGCCACTGCACTCCAGCCTGGGCGACAAGAGCAAGACTCCAACTCCAAATAAATAAATAACTGTCTTGAGGAATAAAATGTGGACTCAACCCACAGCCAACACGTTTGGCCACCATGATTGCCTTCTCTGAGACCATACTCTGAATTTTCTGGTATTATCCCCACCTAGACCAGAAACCTCTTGGTACCCTCAGACATAAATAAGTGGCCTGAGAATTAACACTAACTTTAGATTATCTGTAAGTGGGGTTTCAACTTTCCTGTTCATCTCCAGAAACACGAAAGCCTTGATTCAATGGTGTGTTATCTTGACATCTCGTCCCTTTAAATAATGACCTAAGCAGGGAGTACACCTGGGGATGGTAAGCATACTGAGAGGTACAGCCACCTTCCCTGCACAGGCATCCCTCAATGATCAAGCCACTATCCACTCACTGAATCTAAACACAGCCTCAAAATTCCTGCTCAGCCGAGTGCTGAAAGGTCAGGGATACACAAGAAGTGAAATCTTTTTGTCATTCTTCTCAATCTCTCTTTAGAGATAAAAAAATTAAGGTTCAAAAGAAGATGGGAGCTTAACTGAGATGCCACAGGAACTGGCGGCAGAGTTGGGACCAGAATTCAGGTCTGCCGGGCTTCCAGTTCAGTGTTCTTTCTCCTCTATTGTAATTAAATTTTTAATACAAAAAAACTGTATCCTGGGACCTTTACAGTCCTCTATCTTTTTGTCTTTTTTTTTTTTTTTTTTTTTTTCAGACAGAGTCTTACTCTGTCATCCAGGCTGCAGTGCAGTGGAGTGATCTCAGCTCACTGCAATCTCCACCTCCCAGGTTCAGCTGATTCTCCTGCCTCAGCCTCCCAAGCAGGTGGAATTACAGGCATGCACCACGACACCCGGCTAATTTTTGTATTTTTAGTAGAGACGGGGTTTCACCACGTTGGCCAGGCTGGTCTCAAACTCCCAACCTCAAATGATCCACCTGCCTTGGCCTCCCAAAGTGCTGGGATTACAGGCATGAGCCACTGTGCTCAGCCTTTTAAAAAAGTTTTCATGCTTGCTGAGTGCAGTGGTTCACACCTGTAATCTCAGCACTTTCGGAGGCTAAGGTGGGTGAATCACTTGAGGTTAGGAGTTTGAGATCAGTCTGGCCAACATGATGAAACCTCATCTCTACTAAAAATACAAAAATTAGCTGGGCGTGGTGCCAGACACCTGTAGTCCCAGCTACTGGGGAGGCTGAGGCAGGAGAATTGCTTGAACCTGGGAGATAGAAGATGCAGTGAGCTGAGATTGTGCCACTGTATTCCAGCCTGGGCAACAAGAGCGAGACCCCATCTAGGGGGGAAAAAGTTTCCATTCTCAAATAGGAACAAAAGAATGACCCTGAACAAAAACTTTACTTACTTTCCTTTTGTCCTCAACCACTCCCATTAACAAGTAGACTATAATTAATAACAACTTATATGTCCAGCACATCACAGTTTACAAACTGCTTTTCTGATTCTTTATCTGATTTCCTCCCAACCACACTTTTAATTATTCATTCAACCAACATTTCTGGGTACTGCCTAAGTGCCAGGCATAGAGGAAATAAACCACCACCCACACTGGGTTAGTGCACAGGCTCTGTGGTCAGACGGCCTGGATTCAAAGTCCAGCTCTATCATTTATTAACTCTGTGTCCCTAAGTGTGACTTCTCCAAGCTAAATTCAAAAATCACAACTTTTGCTAATTCTTCTTAAATGAATATGCTTTTCCCCCTCTTAGGCAAGAAATGGGAAATTGCCAAGCCCTTGAAACACAACCAAGCAGATGAAGAAAAGATGTATGAGTAAGTGGTGGGGAAATCCTTCGGCTTTTTACTTTTGAGATCTGCCTGCTCACTTCCACTCTTGCACCTCCGCTACTGAAACAGAATGACATCACATTTCCTGTAGAGTTGGTGAAACCTCACACCTGCCAAATCTCTCCACATATGGGCAGAGACTCAGGAAGAACATTGTGAATGTAGGGTAGGTCCTCCCTCCTCTCTCTCTCTCTCTCTCTCTCTCTCTCTCTCTCTCTCTCTCTATCTCTCTCTCTCTCGTTTTTTCCAAGATGGAGTCTTGTTGTTACCCACACTTGAGTGCAATGAAGCAATCTCGGCTCCCTGCAACCTCCACCTCCCCAGTTCTAGTGATTCTCCTGCAGACACTCTTATTAGGCAGGATAGTCCAAGGGTTTAGAGATTATTTCCCACGAGTCAGTCAAGAGCCAATCCTTTCTTTGGAATATACACACTATCTAAAACAAAACCTATGCTTGGAGTGAGGTGCAGTGGTTCATGCCTGTAATCTCAGCACTTTGAAAGGCCAAGGTGGGAGGATCACTTGAGGCCAGGCGTTCAAAACCAGCCTGGACAATATAGTGAGACCCTGTCTACAAAACATTTTTTAATCTATGCTTTTCTTTTTTTCTTTTTATTTTTTTTCTTTAATAAAGAGGGGAAGGCTGGGCGCGGTGGCTCAAGCCCATAATCCCAGCACTTTGGGAGGCCGAGGCAGGTGGATCACGAGAGATCGAGACCATCCTGGTCAACATGGTGAAACCCCGCCTCTACTAAAAATACAAAAAATCAGTTGGGCATGGTGGTGCGTGCCTGTAATCCCAGCTACTCAGGAGGCTGAGGCAGGAGAATTGCCTGAACCCAGGAGGCGGAGGTTGCTGTGAGCCGAGATCGCGCCATTGCACTCCAGCCTGGGTAACAAGAGCAAAACTCCATCTCAAAAAAATAAATGAATAAATAAATAAAATAAAGAGGGGGTCTCACCATGTTGGTCAGGCTGGTCTTGAACTCCCAACCTCAGGTGATCTGCCCGCCTTGGCCTCCAAAGTGCTTGGATTACAACAGGCATGAGCCACCATGCCTGGCAAAATCTATACTTTTCTGAAATGGTTTTTGTTGTAGCTTCGGGGGTCCAGCAAATAAGATCCCCCCTGCCTCCATCAGTTCTGATCCCCTTCAGAAATAAGATAAATGTGTCAGGCAGCCAGGTGGCTAAAATATTGCCTTTATTACAAATAAAAATTGGGCAGGGTGCAGTGGCTCACACCTGTAATCCCGGACTTTGGGAGGCTGAGGCAGGCGAATCACCTGAGGTCAGGAGTTTGAGACCAGCCTGGCCAACAGAGGTTTAGTAGAAACCCCGTCTCTACTAAAAATACAGAAATTAGCCAGGTATGGTGGTGTGTGCCTGTAATCCCAGCTATTTGGGAGGCTGAGGCAGGAGAATTGCTTGAACCCAGGAGGCGGAGGTTGCAGTGAGCCAAGATCATGCCACTGCACTCCAGCCTGGGCGACAAGTGAAACTCCATCTCAAAAAAAAAAGCAAAAAAAAAAAAAACAAACAAACTGGGATTGGCTAAGGGCAGTGGTTCATGCCTATAATCCCAGCACTTTGGGAGACCAAACTGGGAGGATGGCTTGAGGCCAGGAGTTTGAGACCAGCCTGGACAACATAGAGAAGCCCCATTGAAAAAAATACCAAAATTATCCAGGTATGGTGGCATCTGCTTGTAGTCTCAGCCACTTGGGAGGTTAAGGTGGGAGGATCACTTGAACCCATGAGGTTGAGGCAGCCATGAGCTGTGATGGTGCCACTGCTCTCCAGCCTGGGTGTCAAAGGAAGACCCTGTCTCAAAAAAACAAAACACAAGCAAACAAAAAAAGAATAAAACTGGGATTGCAGAACATGGTTCTTTTCTGTGAACTAGTGAGTTTCCTAATTTGGAACTGGGTGACTTTCCTGCCCAGTTCACAGGCAGCTCCAGAAAACCTCAGGTCTCCCCCACTGAGCAGACCCCTTTCTCTGAATGGCAAAGATGGGAGCACGATCTGTGATTTCTACAGTCAGGCCAGCACTAGAGGAGAAAGTGAGAGGAGCCAGACTTTCCCCAAATTTAGCAGTCAGATGAATTGCTTTCTTCTCTTAGGAAGAGCTACAGAGGGATGGTGTCTCCACCTGCACTCACCCCAATAACCTAAAAATGTTTATTCATTCCCAGGGGGACTTTATAGCATATAGGAATCAAATTAGTGTACCTAGGGAGATGGAGGCCCAAGTAAGGACACTTTCTTAGAGTTTATCCTTTAGTTAAAACTTCTTACCAAAGTAAAATATAAATACAGAAAAATGGACATAGTAAGTGTACAACCTGATGAATTTCCACAAACAGAATAGATCCAGGTAACTGGCACCCAGATCAAGAAAACAGGATATTACTGGCACTTCAGAGGCTTATTTTATACAGCATTTCAGCTGTTACATCCCAAAGGTAATCACTGTCTGTGATAGCATAAATTAACTTTTTGGTTTTTATGCATTCTATTAATGAAATCATATAGTATGTATTCTTTGGTGCTTGGCTTTTTTGCTCAACATCATTTTTATGAGATTCATTTTATGTAGTTGTAGATTGTTCATTCTTGTTCAATTCTTGTTCACAGAATATTCCACTGTGGGATTACACTACACTTACTTATGTATTTATTTTGAGACAGGGTCTCACTGTGTCAACCAGGCTGAAGTGCAGTGGTGCAATCATAGCTCACTGTAACCTCAAACTCCTGGGCTCAAGTGATCCTCCTGCTTCAGTCTCCTGAGTAGCTGGGACTACAGGTGTATGCCACCACACCTAGCTAATTATTTTGATTTTTTTATAGAGATAGGGTCTCCCTGTGTTGCCCAGGATCTCCCTATATTGCCCTCAAACTCCTGGCCATCTTCCCTCTTTTGCCTCCCAAAGTGCTGGGATTACAACAGATGTGAACCACCTTGCCCAGTCTCTATACCATAATTAATCTATGCATTCTACTACTGATAGGCATTTTGGTAGTGTGATGCCAAATTTTATGTGTCTCTGTTTCTCTGGAGAACCCAGACTAACACAGGTAGTGTCCAATTTGGAGCTGTTATGAATAGTGTTGCTCTGAACATTCTAATGCATGTTTTGGTGAACAGCATTTCCACTGCTGGGAAATGCTTTCGATAGGCTGTAGACCCAGCAGTGGAAATGCTGTCTCGAGGTGTATGTACATTCAGCTTTAGGAGTTCACCCGTTTTTTGTTTTTTGTTGGTTTGTTTTGAGACAGAGTCTTGTTATGTCACCCAGGCTGGAGTGCAGTGGCATGATCTTGGCTCACTGTAACCTCTGCCTCCCTGGTTCAAGTGAGTCTCCTGCCTCAGCCTCCCAAGTAGCTGGGATTACAGGTGTGCATCATCATGCCCAGCTAATTTTTATATTTTTTAGTAGAGATGGGATTTCACCATGTTGGCCAGGCTGGTCTCAAACTCCTGACCTCAGGTGATCCGCCCACCTTGGCCTCCCAAAATGCTGGGATTACAGGCGTGCGCCACCATGCCTGGCTTATCTGTTTTGTGAATAGAAATACATCTAGTGCCTACCGCTCCTAATCCAGCTCAGGTGAACCATGTGCTCCATGCTCTGAGTCATAGCACTTTTATTTCCCTCTCCTTGGTTTCAGCCATTTCCTGGGCTAGAGAAAATGGTTTCATTAGGGTGCCAATTACAATGGGATCCAGGACCTAGAAAGGAAAGTAAATGCTTCCAATTTGTTCAGTCCAAGATTTGAATGTTCAATCCATTCATTTTCCTTGACATTTTATCTTAAATCTGCTGAGAGCAGGCATGGCCCAAACCAAACACTGATTCCCTTTCTCTCTGTCTAGGAATGTTCTTAATGATTCTCCAGGTCAGTTACCGCCTCTGCCACCGAGGAATTGGCCTTCTCTAGAAGACTCTTGTAAGTATATTTTACTGGTAGCAGTTTCATTTACAGTTAGGATAACAAGTTTATCAAGATGTCTTAGAAAGCTCAAGCTGCTGTAATAAAAATACCATGACTGGGGTGCTTATGTAACAGAAATCTACTTTCTCATTGTTCTGAGGCTATAAGTCTGAGATTAGGTTGCTGGCCAATTTCTGTGAGGTTTCTGGTGAGGGCTCTCCTCCTGGTTTGCAGACAGCTGCCTTCTTGCTATGTCCCCACAGATGGGCTTTCCTTGGTGCATTCAAGCTGGAGAATAGTGTCAGAGAGCCCGATTTCTGGTGTTTCATCTTACAAAGACACTAATCCTGTTGTATCAAGGCCTCATCCCTATGGCCAAATATAGCCACACTGGGGGTTAAGCCTTGAACATGTGAATTTTGGGGGAACACAAACATTCAGTCTATAACACTAGGATGTATAGATGCAGCATTCTGATTATTTTACTTTACTTTCATTTATTTATTTATTTTTGAGATAGGGTTTCACCATGTTGGCCACGCTGGTCTTGAACTCCTGACCTCAGGTGATCCACCCACCTCAGCCTCCCAAAGTGCTGGGATTACAGGCATGAGCCACCGCTCCCGGCCCTGATTTTTTTATTTTTGAAGCAGAGTCTTGCTCTCTCACCCAGGCTGGAGTACAGTGGTGAGATTTCACCTCACTGAAATCTCCACCTCCTGGGTTCAAGCTATTTTCTTGCCTCAGCCTCCTGAGTAACTGGGATTATAGGCACACACCACTACACCCAGTAATTTTTTGTATATTGAGTAGAGATGGGGTTTCACCATATTGGCCAGGCTGGTCATGAACTCCTGACCTCAAGTGATCCACCCACCTCAACCTCCAAAAGTGCTGGTATTATAGGCTTGAGCCACCACACCCAGCCAGCATCCTGTTTAAAAGAAACAGCCAGAGGCCAGGCACGGTGGCACATGCTTGTAATCCCAACACTTTGGGAGGCCAGGATGGGCAGATCACTTGAGCTCAAAAGTCTGAGAACAGTCTGGGCAACATGGCAAAACCCTGTCTCTACAAAAATTAGCTGGGCATGGTGGTGCACACCTATAGTCCCAAGTCCTTGGACAGCTGAGTTTGGGGGATCGCTTGAGCCTGGGAGGTCTCATCTTGGACAATAGAGTGAGACCCTGTCTCAAAACAAAAAAAGGAATGAAAAAGCGAAAAGGAGGCAGAATAAGTACCAATGCACCCAATATCCTGATATAAATGCGTAAATTAATGTTCAAATCCTAGCTTGGAACATAAACAGAAAGAAACATGGGGTGTCACTGGGCCTCTCACTTCCTATCAGAAAAACTCTGCCTGGTTCCTTTGACTGGAATGTTCTTCCTTAAGCTCTTTGCATAGCTGGCTTTTCCTCATCCTTCAGATGTCAGCTCAAAAGTCACCACCTCAAAGAGGCCCTTTCTGACCACTCAACCTAAAGTAGTCCTGCTAATTTCCTTTATGAAACTGACAGTTATCCAAAATTGTCTTATTTACTTATTGTTCATTTGTGTACTATTTCCTCCACTGAAGTATAAACTTCAGAAAAACAGGAACCTTTCTTGTCCACCACTATTAATATTTACCCACTACCTAGAATGGGGCGTGGGACTTAGTCGATACTTAAGAAAAATATTTTAAGCAGGGTGCAGTGGCTCACGCCTTTAATCCCAACACTTTGGGAGGCCAAGGAGGGTGGATTGCCCGAGGGTGGGAGTTCAAGACCAGCCTGACCAACATGGAGAAGCCCCATATCTACTAAAAATACAAAAATTAGCTGGGTGTGGTGGTGCAGGCCTGTAATCCCAGCTATTCAGGAGGCTGAGGCAGAAGAATTGCTTGAACCTAGGAGGTGGAAATTGTGGTGAGAAGAAATCGCGCCATTGCACTCCAGTCTGGGCAACAAGATCGAAAATCTGTCTCAAAAAAAAAAAGAAAAATATTTTGATTGGATAGATAAATATTAGATGACATTTACTGAACATGCACAGTGTTTCAGGTCCCACACTAAGCACTTTACAGGTTCAGCTCATTCAATCCTCACAACTCTATGAGGCAGGTACATTTTCATTCCCCTTTGATAGATGAGGACACTGAGGCACAGAGAAGTGACTTACCTATGGAAAGGGGGAGGAGAAGAAGAGGAGGGGAGGGGAGGGGAGGGCAGGAAAGGGAAGGGGAGGGGAGGGGAGGGGAGACAGCTAATGACTGCTAGAATCTGAACATAAACTCAGATCTGTCAAACTGTAGAGTTCTGCAAGCAGTGGCATTTCAGGTTTGTTTTTGTTTTTTATCTTTTTTTTTTTTTTTTTTTTTTTTTGAGATGGAGTCTCCCTCTGTCACCAGGCTGGAGCACAGTGGGCTCACTGCAACCTTCGCCTTCTGGGTTCAAGTGATTCTCCTGCTTCAGCCTCCCAAATAGCTGCAACTACAGGTGCGCGCCACCTCACCCAGCTAATATTTGTATTTTTAGTAGAGATGGGGTTTCACCAAATTGGCTAGAATGGTCTCGATCTCTTGACCTTGTGATCTACCCACCTCGGCCTCCCAAAATGCTGGGATTACAGGTGTGAGTCAACGTGCCTGGCCGCATTTCAGGTTTTTTAAGGAAAAGATGAGACTGTGGGAGAAGCAGTTCCAATCCTCATCAAAGACGGAGCTGAGCTGTTTCATCATCTTTCTATTACCTATGGACCTGTACTTTTCTTTCCTCTTTCTTTCTTTCTTTCTTTCTTTCTTTCTTTCTTTCTTTCTTTCTTTCTTTCTTTCTTTCTTTCTTTCTTTCTCTTTCCTTACTCTCTCTTTCTCTCTTTTCTTTCCCTCCCTCCCTCCCTGCCTGCCTTCCTTTTCTTTTTTTATTTCTTTTTTTTTTTGGCACTCAGAAAATGATTTGGTTCCAGTGCACCTTCCTTCTTTTTTGAGACAGAGTCTCGCTCTGTCACCCAGGCTAGAGTGCAATGGTGCGATATTGGGTCACCCCAACTTTTGCCTCCTGGGTTCAAGCAATTCTCCTGTCTCAGCCTCCCAACTGGCTGGGATTACAGGCACCCACCATCATGCCAAGCTAATTTTTGTATTTTTGTAGAGACGAGGTTTTACCACATTGGCCAGGCTGGTCTCGAACTCCTGATCTCAGGTGATCCGCCCTCTTTGGCCTCCCAAAGTGCTGGGATTACAGGCATGAGCCACCGTGCCCAGCCTTCTATGGATTTGTTCTGTACTAATTTCACTTTTTGAAAACAACACCATAACTTCTCTTCTTGGCAGAAAGATTTGTACATAAGCAATTACAGAGAGTCCTAGAAAATAGAGTAATTTACTGGGAGTAGTGTGCCAAAAGGCAATATGATTAGTTTCATTTCCTTGTGAAAATCAGGATCTGTAACATAACAGCACTCATATGACTACTGGGCTCTGGTCTGTTTCTTTTCATCCATTCTTTTTTTTTTTTTTTTTGAGACAGGGTCTTACTATGTTGCCCAGGCTGAAGTGCAGTGGCGTGATCACGGCTCATTGTAGCCTCAACCTTCTGGGCTCAGGAGATCCTCTTGCCTCAACCTCCAAAGTAGCTGGAACTATAGGCATGCATTACCACACCCAGCTAATTTTTAAAATTTTCTGTAGAGATGTGGGTCTCCCTATGTTGCCCAAGCTGGTCTGGAACTCCTGGGCTCAAGTGATACTCCCATCTTGGCCTCCCAGAGTACTGGGATTACAGGTGTGAGCCCCTGCATCTGGCCTGTTTCTTTTCTAAGCTTTTGCTTCATGGTTTCCAGGCAGTGCAGTCTTAGGCAGAGAGACATGGGCGTCAAGGTGTCTGAAAAATATTTTCCATTTACTCACTTGGGTGATCCTGAACTGTGTCATGTCCACATTTACATTTCCTCTATAAAATGGGGATCTGGTCCACCAGAAGTGGGAAGATCGCTGAAACGTAAAAATCACACTGAGTCACTTGGTCAAAAATATAAAAACACATGATAGCTTTGCATCTAAGGATCTTTTTCTGTATTCTAGCTCCACAGGAAACCCCAGGTCAGCCACTAGCTACATACTCATTGGTAAATAAAGTTAAAAATAAGAAGACTGTTTCCATCTCGAGCTACATTGAACCTGAAGATGACTATGACGATGTTGAAATCCCTGCAAATACTGAAAAGCATCATTTTGAAACAACCATTTCTTCTTTTTGGCAAAGCTGAAGAGAGTTCACATGATTTATTTTAAAACAATCAAGAATGGTTGAACTTCAGGAGGTCTCTGGGCCTTGAAAGCCAGTGGTGATTTTATGAAGCTCTATAAGATAAAGCACTTCCCAAACCTTAGATGAAGACACCCCTGAGATCAGATGACTACAGCCAGAGGACACAGATGCTCAGCTCTGAGGACTCAGAGGGGTCAGCTTTGTGCTGTTGAGGGAAGTTTCCATGGGGACGACCATGGGCTCGAGTTGCTGGGATTACAGGCACCCACCATCATGGCCAGCTAATTTTTGTATTTTTGTAGAGATGAGGTTTTACCACGTTGGCCAGGCTGGTCTCAAACTCTACAGTGAGCTATGAGTTCATAGCTCCCCCTATGAGAAACTACTCATTTCTTGGTACTCTTTCCCTCTTCATTCCCTTGGTTTGCATGGTTCTGAGTGATCTTAAATGTCAGCATTCAGTGGTACAGACCCTCCCAGGCTGCCATCCCCAGCAAGGCCTTCACCAAGCATGCCAGTCTTTACCCCTTCCACTCTACCCACCTCCTGCACTGTGAGGCTGTGGGTGAGTTATAGCTGAGTGCTCTTGTGCCAAAGTCCCCACACCATATCTTGCAAGTTTGCAAGGGCAGGGAGTACTTTTTGTTCTTGTGAACCCTCCCTACCTATACACCCTGCAAACCCCACTGCCTTTTTATGATGTAGGCCAAGGCCGGGCTCCCATCTGTAATCCCAGCACTTTGGGAGTCTGAAGCAGGTGGATCACCTGAGGTCAGGAGTTCAAGATCAGCCTGACCAACATGGAGAAACCCCATATCTATTAAAAATACAAAATTAGCTGGGCATGGTGGTGCATGCCTGTAATCCCAGCTACTCAGGATGCTGAGACAGGAGAACTGCTTGAACCCAGGAGGCAGAGGTTATGGTGAGCTGAGATTGTGCCATTGCACTCCAGCCTGGGCAACAGGAACAAAACTCCATCTTAAATAAATAAATAAATAAATAAATAAATAAATAAATAAATAAATGATGTAGGCCAAATTGACCATAAAGATTCGAGTTTTCACCTAGGTTTCTTCCCCATGCCCACAAGATGCTGGTTTCTAAGCAAGTACAGGTTGTACCGTAACAATGGACAAAGGACAAAAGTTACCTTCTGATTTACACCTAGAAGCATCATTTAGCAATAGATGTGTTGGGGGTGCTACAGGAAAAATTATGGGGAACAGGAAAGAAAGAGGGCATGTAACAATGGCATATTCAAGATGAGAGTGGAGGGGGCTTAAAATCCCCTGCTCATCATTTTCATCATCACTTCCTCAAGATCTATGAAAACAGCCTCAAGCCCCTTCCCTCAAGAACACCATCCCTGGGCATCTAGGAAGAGTCACAAGGCCCGGTGTGATGTGCTGCAGCCAATGAGATGCCAGAGAAGTGGGCTGCTGACCTGGAATGGTCCACATACCCAGGGTCTTAGGAGACCCCAGTAAACCCCAGGGTCTCCTGTCCCAACAGCACCCAGCAACTTTCCCTAATGTCTCATTGGCCTGGAGTGGTCCACATACCCGTGATCTTAGTCCATTTGGTCTACTATAACAAAATTCCTTAGACTGGATAATTTTTTAAAAACAGAAATGCTGCTCACAGTTCTGGAGGCTGGGGAGTCCAAGATGAAGGCGCCAGCAGATTTGGTGTTTGGTGAGGGCTCACTCTCTGCCTCACATCTTTTCACTATGTCCTCACTTGATAGAAGGGGAAGGCAGCTCTCTTGGGACTCTTTTATTTTATTTTTTGAGACAGAGTCTTACTTTGTCACCCAGGCTGGAGTGCAGTGGCACAATCATAGCTCACTGTAGCCTCAAACTCCTGGGCTCAGGTGATCAATCCTCTCACCTGAGCCTCCTGAGTAGCTGGAACTACAGGCACATGCCACCATGCCCAGCTATTCTTTTTCCGTCTTTTTATTTTTTATTTATTTATTTTTTTTTTTGTAAAGATGGAGTCTCACTCCATAACCAGGCTGGTTTCAAACTACTGGATTCAAATGATCCTTTTGTCTCAGCCTCCCTAAATGCTGGGATTATAGGTATGAGCCACTGCACTGGCGTGGGGCCTCTTTTATAAGGGCATTAATCCCATTCATGAGGGCAGGGCCCTCAGGATTAATCACCCCAAAGGGCCTGCCTCTTAATAACATCATCTTGGGGTGACATGTGAATTCTGGGGGACACAAACATAGACCATAGCATTCTGCCACTGACCCCACAAAATCTATGTCCTTCTCATATGCAAAATACATTTATTCTATCCCAATAGCCCTAAAAGTCTTAACTCATTCCAACATCAGCTTTGAAGTCTAAGTCAACATCTCAACTAAATGTTGACTCATTCCAACTATGGGCAAAAATCAAGATATGATTCATCCTGAGGCAAACTGCTCTCCAATTATGAGCCTATGAAATCAAACTACTTGTGTGCTTCCAAAACACAATGGTGGGACTGACATGGGATAGACATTTCCATTCTAAAAGGGAAAAATAGGAAAGAAGAAAGGGGTAATGGGTCCCAAGCAAGTCTGAACCTTAACAGGGCAAACAACATTAAGTCTTAAGGTTTGAGAATAATTCTTGACTTGATGTCCTAGCCCCCAGATATTGGCATGGGGGTTGGGCCCCCAAGGCTCGGGGCAGCCCTACCTCCACGGCTTTGCTGGGCACAGACTACTCTGCAGCTTTCATGAGTTGGAGTCTCTGGCCTGCAGCTTTTCCAGGCTGGAGCTGCACACTGGTGGCCCTACCACTCTGGGGTCTTGGAGGCAGACCTGTCCCCATGGCTGTGCTGGGCATTGTCCTGGTGGGGGCTCTCTACAGTGGCCCTGCCCCTTTGGCTGTACTCTGTCTGGGCCTCAAGCTTCCCTCAGGAATCCTTTGAAATCTAAGTAGAGGTAGCAATGCCCTCACAGCCCGTGTACTTTGTGCACCTGTGGAGATGGAACTGCTTTAACACCACCATGCTTTACTGTCTATGCCTTCCAGAGGGATAGCCTGAGCCACACTTGGGCCCACTTGAGCCATAGCTAGGATATCTCAGGAACCCTGTGCCAACATGCAGGGAGCAGAGCCTTGAAATCGCTTTGCCTTCAAGGTCCTAGCTTTCTGGGCCTATGATGGGCAGGGTAGCCTCTGAAGATCTTCAGAATGCTTTCAGAATCATTCTTCCACTGTGATGCTGAGCATCTGGCTTCCATCTACTCATACTAATCTCCTTATCAAAAGTTTCCTCGGTCACATTCTTGGTGTTTTCTCTTAAACAGCTTTTTCATTCTTTACAACACGAGCAGGTTGGTAAATTTCTAAATTTTTAAATTCTGCTTTTTTTTTTTTGTATTATAAATAACATCTTTGGCCAGGTGTGGTGGTTCATGCCTCTAATCCCAGCCCTTTGGGAGGCCAAGACAGGTGGACCACCTGAGGTCAGGAGTTCGAGACCAGCCTGGCCAACAATGGTTAAACCCTACCTCTACTAAAAATACAAAATTAGCTGGGCATCATGATGCACACCTGTAATCCCAGCTACTGGGGAGACTGAGGCAGGAGAATCACTTGAACCCAGGAGGAAGAGGTTGCAGTGAGCTGATATTGCACCACTGCACTCCAGCCTGGGCTAAAAGAGTGAAATTCCGTCTCAAAAAATAAATAAATAACATCTTTAATTGGTTTCTCTCTGCTAGCATTTTACTAGGCATTCAATAGAAGCTTTGCCACACTCTCAACACTTTACTCAGATATTTTTTCCACCAAATATCCTATTTTATCACTCAGAATTTCTACCTTCCATAAAATACTAGGACACACAATTCAGCCACATTCTTTGCCACTTTATAGGATAATTTTTCCTCCAGTTCCCAATAACATGTTCTTCATTTTTATCTGAGACCTCATCAGAATGGCCTTTAACATCCATACTTTTACAGACATTCTGTTACAACCTCTTAGGTGATCTCTAAGAAAATTGAGACTTTCTCTGTAGCTCTCCTCTTCTGAGCCCTTACCAGAATCACCCTTCATAATCTGTTTACAACAATGCAGGCCTTTTTGTGTGTGAGAGACAGAGTCTCATTTTGTCACCCAGGCTGGAGTGTAGTGGCTCGATCTTGGCTCACTGCAACCTCCACCTCCCAGGTTCAAGCGATTCTCATGCCTCAGCCTCCCAAGTAGCCGGGATTATAAGGGTGCATCACCATACCTGGCTAATTTTTGTATTTTTAGTAGAGATCAGCTCTCACCCTTTTGGCCAGGCTGGTCTCAAGCTCCTGATCTCGAGTGATCTGCCCACCTCAGCCTCCCAAAGTGCTTGGATTACAGGCATGAGCCACTGCGCCCAGCCAATACAGGCTTTTTCTAGCATGCACTTCAAAACTCAGCCTCTACCCATTACTTAGTTCCAAAGCCACCCCCAAATTTTTAGATGTTTGTTATTCCAGCACCCAGTTCTCAGCACCGATTTCTGCCTTTATCAGGACAGCTAAAACAAAAATACCTTAGGCCAGGTGCAGTGGCTCACACCTGCAATCTCAGCACTTTGGGAAGCTGAGGTGGGTGTCTCACTTAAGGTCAGGAGTTTGAGACCAGCCTGCCTAACATGATGAGACCCTCTCTCTATTGAAAATACAAAAATTAGCTAGGCAGGTGGCGCGTATCTGCAATCCCAGCTACTCGGGAGGCTGAGGCACAAGAATTGCTTGAACCCAGGGGGCAGAGTTTGCAGTGACCCAGGATTGCATCACTGCACTACTCCAGCCTAGGCAACAGAGCAAAACTCTATCTCAAAAAAAAAAAAAAAAAAAAAACAAAAAAAGAAAAAAAGTGCCTTAAACTGGGTAATTTATAAAGAACAAAAATGCATAGGCCAGGCACGGTGGCTTATAACTGTAATCCCAGTACTTTGGGAGGCCAAGGAGGGCAGATCATGAGGTGAGGAGTCTGAGACCAGCCTGGACAAAATGGTGAAACTTCATCTCTACTAAAAATGCAAAAATTAGCCAGGTGTGGTGGCTCATGCCCGTAGTCCCAGCTACACGGGAGGCTGAGGCAGGACAATCGTTTGAACCAGGGAAGCAGAGGTTGCAGTGAGCTGAGATCATGCCATGGCACTCCAGCCTGGGCAAGAAGAGTAAAACTCTGACTCAAAAAAAAAAAAAAAAGGAAAGAAATGTATTGCTGACAGTTCTGGAACCTGGGAGTCCAAGATCACCGAGCCAGCAGATTCGGTGACTGGCAAGGACTCACTCTGCTTCAAAGATGGTGCCTTCTTGCTGTGTCCTCACATGGCAAAAGAGAGGGCAGCCTCTGGGACTTCTTTTATAAGGGCATTAATCCCATTGATTTAGGTCCCTTGTGACCTAAACACTTCCCAATGGCTCCACCTCTGAATACCACCATCTTGCAGATTAATTTCAACATATGAATTCTGAAGGAACAAATATTCAGACTGTAGAGCCCAGCTATAGGAGAGGGTGGGAAGTGAAAGCTGGGTATGTCCCATTTTTCTGGCTGGAGGTGGGCTTTGCCATCAAGAGAAATGGAGGAAAGAATGGCTAGATAGGCAACCTGCCATCTCTCTGAGTCAGTTCAGCATTACAAATACACTATTCATTATTGTTATTTTTTCAGGTAGAATATCAAAGGTGACCAGGTACAGTGGTTCATATCTGTAATCCCAGCACTTTGGGAGGCCGAAGGGGGAGGGTCGCTCGAGCCCAGGAATTCAAGACCAGTCTGAGCAACATAGGGAGACCCTGTCTCTACAGAAAAAAATTTTTAATGTTTATTTTATGTATAAAGAATTATCATGGTTTTCATGGTAGATGCCTTAGATAATCCTTTAAAGGAAGATCATTTAATCCAACATAATGAAACTGGTTTGTATCTTTAGCATACTGACAGAAACACTGGCGGCACATATTGAGGCCATATTTCTGGATCAGACCGTGCTGGTGTGAACAGATGCGACAAGAGCGAGAACCCTGGCCAAACTTTTGCGGGTGGCTCCAGTACAGCTGCTGGTGACCCATCTTGCTCTCAAGATCACAAGATAAAAGGAAGGAGCCAGCCCACACATGCGCTCTTCAAATTTTTTAGAGAAAATTTTTAAAATATTGATTCCTATGGACACACACAATACATAATAAATAATAAATTTTAAAATAAGCCAAGCATGGTGGCACATGCCCATAGTCCCAGCTACTCAGGAGGCTGAGGTGTAAGGATCACTTGAGCCCAGGAGGCCAAGGCTGCAGTGACCTGTGATCAAGCAGTAGTGACCTACTGCACTCCAGCCTGGACAACAAAAAGAGACTTTTTATTTTTGAGACAGGGTCTCACTCTGTTACCCAGGCTGGGGTGCTGTGGTGCAATCATGGCTCACTGCAGCCTAAAACCCCTGGACTCAAACTCTTGAGTTCAGGCGATCCTCCCACCTTAGCCCCCTACGTAGTTGGGATGGTAGGTGTGTACCACCATACCTGGCTAATTTTTTATTTTTTGTAGAGATGGGAGTCTTACTATGTTAAAAGCCTCTTGGAGCTGGAGCTCCAGGAAAAGCCTCTTTACTGGACTGGGCATGGTAGTTCACACCTCTCATCTCAGTACTTGGGAAGCCAAGGTGAGAGACCAAGCGTTCAAGGCCAGCCTGGGCAACATAGCAAGCCCAGGGGTTTTAGGCTGCAGTGAGCCATGATTGCATTGCAGTACCCGGCCTGGGTAACAGATTGAGACCCTGTTTCAAAAAAAAAAAAGCCTCTTTACTAGTCTCTTCTCCTCCAATGCATCTCCCGTTTGGTGTCAGAGTAAACTTTCTAAAACACACATCTGATGAAGGTATGATCATGTTTAAAATCCTTCAGTCCCTTTTATGTACAAGGATTAAGTCCAAACTCCTTAGCACACCATCAAGGCCCTGCTAATCTGGCCCCACTAGCCCCGTTTAAGCACCTCTTCTTCCACTATGCCCTGACCTCGAGAAATGACTGGCAGTTCCTTGAAAACTATGGATTTATACATTCTCCTCTTTCTGCTTGGAATGCCCTCCCCCTCCATCTCCACCCAGTAAACTCCAACTCACTCCTTAGAACCCAACTGAAGCAGACAAGTGTGTGGCTCACACCTGTAATCCCAGCACTTTGGGAGGTCAAGGCGGGTGGATCACCTGAGGTCAGGAGTTTGGGACCAGCTTGGCCAACATGGGTGAAACCCTATCTCTACTAAAAATAGAAAAAATTAGCTGGGCATGGTGGTGGGCACCTGCAATCCCAGCTACTTGGGAGGCTGAGGCAGGAGAATTGCTTGAACCCAGGAGGCGAAGATTACAATAAGCCAAGATTGCACTGTTGCACTCCAGCCTGGGCAAAAAGAGCAAAATTCTGCCTCAAAAAAAAAAAAAAGAACCCAAGTGAAGCATCATCCCCTCCTATCCCCTCCCCACCCTGCCCTGCCCTGCCCTCCCCTCCCCTTCTCTCCCTTCCCCTCCCCTCCCCTCCCTCCTTTATTCCTTTTGTTTTTTTGTTTTTTATCTTTTGTTTTTTTTTTTTTGAGACAGGGTCTTGCTCTCTCACCCAGTCTAGAGTGTAGTGGTGCAATCACAGCTCACACAGCCTCAACCTCCTGGGCTTAAGCAATCCTCACTTCAGCCTCCCTAGTAGCTGGGGACTACAGGCACATGTCAACTTGCCTGGCTGATTTTTGTGGGGGTTTTTTTTTGCTCTCTCACCCAGTCTGGAGTGTAGTGGTGTGATCACAGCTCACTGCAGCCTCAATCTCCTGGGCTTAAGCAATCCTCACTTCAGCCTCCCCACTAGCTGGGGACTACAGGCACATGGCACCATGCCTGGCTAATTTTTGTGGGTTTTTTAAGAGATGGGGGTCTCACTATGTTGCCCAGGCTGGTCCCGAACTCCTGGGCTCAATTGATCCTCCCACCTCAGCCCCTAAAAGTTCTGGGATTACAGGCATGAGCCACTGCACCCAGCCCATAATGCAAAATTATCACTATCTTGTGATTACACCTTTCTCTTTCCCATTAGACACTGGGGTTCTTCAGGGATAGGATTATGTCTTAGTCATAGGGTAACTCTGCATTCAGTTTGCCTCCAGACACTTTTGGCTTTTGTTTGATGTCTCAGTATCATTAATAGCACTCTTTTTCACTCTCAAAAGTGTCCTGATTTGGATGATAAATTATATGTTCGTCTTACTTCTTCACAATTAGGACAGTGTCTTCACGTCAAATGAATATATGAATGGTAAACAGTTGTCAAATGAATGCATGAATGAATAAGTGATCCTCTCTAGCTCCCATATAACTCTATCAAATAAACAGTTGAGTTGGATGATTTCTAAGTTTTGACTGTTTCTTTTTTTTTTTTGAGACGGAGTCTCACCCTGTCTCCCAGGCTGGAGTGTAGTGGCTGCAACCTCCACCTCCCAGGTTCCAGCTATTCTCCTACCTCAGGCTCCCAAGTAGCTGGGATTACAGGCACCCACCACCACCATGCCCAGCTAATTTTTGTATATATATATTTTTTAAAGACGGGGTTTCACCATGTTGGTCAGGCTGGTCTTGAACTCCTGACCTCAGGTGATCCACCTGCCTTGGCCTCT